CATTCTGGGAGATAAAGAGACACATGTTCCTTATTATTTGAATTTAGAACCCTTGTATTTGAAAAGAATCTCACTGGATACTTTTCTCCTTTAAAAAGACTATCAACTATAGCCTTTATGGATAACTTACTGCATGCCGAGTACTGTTTGGAAACAGTACTTTTTAAAAATGTATTTAGTACAGGGTCTTACTACACAGATTGGACTCATAGGGATTCTTCTGCTTTCAGCCTCCCGAGTGCTGGGATTACAGGCTCATGCCACCATGCCCAGTCTTGATTGCAGTCTCAGAGCGCCCTGGGGGTAGGGTGTGCATGGCATGCCAGGGACCAAACCCCGGTCACTGTGTATGCCTGAGCAGGTGCTTTAATACACTGAGCTATTTGGCTGGTCCCTTTGTTCTCATTCTCAGAAATACCCATTAAGTGGTATTGTTGCTATTTTAAAGATGAAGAAACCAGGTTCAGAAAATAACATGCCCAAGGCCATAGGACTCTCAGAAGTAAAAAGCAGTAATCCCGACCCCTCTGAGTCCAGAATCTACATTAGGCCCATAGAGAAATCATGTCATACTGCGCAGCTCAAAGGAGACTACGATGGACCTGGATATGGGTATGGTATGTTGACTCCTATTCCAGTTGCGTTTCATACTTTGTTGCTTCTAGACTCAGGATTGTCAGATGATACATGGGCTGACCTCCACCGCCGACTCTAGTTCTTATATCCAGAGATTGGAGAAGCCGCAGTACTTTTGAGCCCGATCCAGCCCATCACACACACACACACACACACACACACACACACACACACACACACACACACAGCTTCACTTTCACCCCTATGGACCTAATGTGGGGCCAAGTCCAGAGCTGGCTCTATTTATCACAGGTTGCACTGTCCACCACAGACTGCTCACAGAAGCTCTAGACCACTCTAGTGTGTGGTTTTATGTTGCAGAAGAATAGGACACTTGGGGCTGGTGAGATGGCTCAGTGGTCTAAGGCACCTACTTGGAACAAGCTTAGCAAAGCACAGGGACCGCGGTTCGATCCCCCAGCACCACATGCCAGCCAGCCCCGCCCCCTGGTGGGCTGAGCTGGCCACACACACACACAATAAATAAATTAAATTAAAAAAAAATAGGACACTATCCTGTGGCACTCTGGTGAAAATTAGATAAAACCCAAATGTCAGTGTCCATAAATGGAGCTCTCTTGGCCATAGCTGTGCTCCTGTGTTTGCATAGTCTCTACGGCTATTGTATTCCAGCAGCAGAGCTGAGTAGCCACAATGAGCCCCAGGGCCTGCAAAGCCTGAAATATTTTCTCTTTGGCCCTTGCCAGAAAGTTTGCTGATTCTTGATCCAGATGAAAGGGATCAAACTCCAGTAATGTCATTATCCACATGATTTTTCTCCAGTAGCTTCCATCCCTGCTTCTTAGGGGCTGCCAGGAATGAGCCGCCTGTGACTAAACCTCAGAATAGAGAGGTGCAGGCCAGGCAGGAGCTGGGCCAGGGCTCCTGTCCCCTGCTGTCCTCTGTCCTGTGGGCCCAAGAAACTTCCTGCCTGTGGGCCATGGATATGCTGATTGAACTGGCTCTCGATTACCTGCTTGGGGACTTATCTGTACCTACCTCTCTGTAGAGATTATGTATGCCCACATGCATGTTATACATTTGTGCATAATAGAGAACTATCTGCTAGTATAAGTGCTACCAAGAAGTGTGTGACAGAGGTAGTGATGATTGGAGGCATTTAAGGGGCCAGGGAAGGTCTCTTGGGTGCCATGAGCAGAGACCTGTGTGAAGTGGTGAAGTATGGTTGCATTTCAGTAGTGCCAACGCCCCAGGATGGAACTGTCTTTCTGTGTGAGAAAGCCAAGATGGCCTGAGGCAGAGCCAGGGGTTGGGGGTGGGTGCTGGGTGCAAGTGAGTCTGGAGAGTAAGCAGGGACAGATGGAGAATAATCACAGGCCAAGCACAGATGTATGAATGATGTTTTAAGTGCAGTGGAAGTCTGCAGAGTGGCCTGGGTCACAGCATGACCTACTCTATAGATTTCCAAGAAAATCTGTGGAGAGTAGACCACTGGACCTCATATGGGTCCTCGGGCAGGGCTGTCCTGAAGAAATGAGCTCTGGGAAGCTCAGAGGCACTTACACTGTGAGTTGGAAAAAGCTAAGATCAAGCTGCTACCTCTGAACACTGAGCAGTAAGCAGGTTGCCAAAGGGATTGCAGCCTGGCTGGGGAAGGCAAGACTCAGGTCAGGCAGAGTGTGGACTCCTCTCCCCTTTTTTTTCCATCTCCTCATGCCCCTCGGGCAGCTCCTCAGGCCAGCTGCCACGCTAACGCACATGTCAAGTCCCTCTTCTGGGCCAGGAATGCATAGCTGGGAGCAGGTATTTATCAAAACCACCAAGAACTGGGGCTGGAAAGATACTGGGAGTGGGCTATATGAGAATTCATATAATGGCCATTCCACTGGCATGAACACTGTCCTAGTTCAGTTTTCCAGATCCTTCCCTCAAAGGTCTGGGTGACACTTCCCATCCTTGTGTAGCCTAACACTCAACAGAGCCACATCCCATGGTGGTTCCACATCACACAGGACCAAACACAACACTGAGCTCTTTCAGGTCGCTGCACATTGGAGCCCTGGGACAAGTGGGTTGAGTGGAAATGTTTCCAGAAGGGGTGCTCACCACCCCATGGACTCGGTAGTTGTTACTGTGGACGAGAGAATTTAGTCAAGAAGACAATTTACATCAAGGTCCACAGGAAGAGGCAGTCTACATTAATGCTGAGGCATAGGTTATGTCCCTGATACTTGATTAATCAGTGACTGAATGAACAATCTAAAGCATCAACAAGCTTTTCTTCCCTATTCACCACTACCACAACAAGGGAGCACACATCTATAAGCTGTGACCACTTTACAGCCACCAGGTTGACTAAAAAGTTTATGACAAAAGCTGTGCTGGTGGAAATGTACAATGGAGAAAATGTGGCCAAAACGCAAGTAACCAGGGTTGGGGATACATCTCAGCGGTACAATGCCTGCCTGGCAAGCACAAGGTCCTGAGTTTAATCCCTGGTACCCAACTCTCTCAAAAATAAAAAACCAAAAATGACCAAGTAACTCAGCAACTCCATTGGTTGGCATATATACCCAAGGACATCGAAAACAAAAAACCTATAGACAAATGTTTGTACCAATATGATTAATAGCCAAGAAGTGAACAGTCCAAGTGACCATCAATTGATGAACAAAAAGATGCACTAATATGGTGTAATCATACTAGACAATAAAAATGAATGGACATGTGGCAGCACATGCCTGCAATCCCAGCACTCAGGAGGCTGAAGCAAGAGGATCACCTCAAGTTGGAGGACAGCCTGGGCTACATACATAGTGAGTCAAGGCCGACATGAACTATATAGCAAGACTGTCTCAAAAACATTGTGACTAAACAAAAGAATCAGCTATTAAAATCAGCTATCATTTTGTATGATCCCATATATAGGCAAAGTCCCAAACTGGCAAGTCCAGAGACACAAAAATCAGTGGTTGGAGGAGTGCAAACATGAATGTGTAGGGTGGTGAAGGGCGTCCAAAGGGTCTGCTAATGGGTATGTTTAAGGTAACAGAAATTTTTTTTTTTTTTTTGCGGAACCAGGTATTGAACTCTGGCCCTTGTGCTTGCCAGGGAAGCACTTATTCCACTGAGCCATCTCCCAGGCCCCAACAGAAATGTTTTATTAACAGCTGCACAACTGAATTGTCCATTTCTAGAGTGAATTATGCCAATAAACCTGTTAATCTGAATCCAAACTTGTCCTCTTCAAACTCCAAGTTACTGTCCAGGGGAAAGGCAGAATTCTTTGCAGAAAGCTTCCTCCCAGTACCCACTGGATCCCAAATCCCAGGCTGGGAATGTAGTTTGCTTACTCCAGGATTAAGCAGGAAGCCAGCCTTATCTTTGCTTCTGGCTAACATATTCCCAAGTTCTGACTTCATCCTCCTGGGCTCAGCTCACAGCTCACAGGTCTCGCTCTCCAAAAAGACCTGGATGGAGGGGGGGTGGAATCCATGTCAAATGCCAACCCTTCCCAGACAGGTGGGCTTCACCCAAGCTGCACTGTGCATGGACAGTCAGCCTTAACATTCCCTGGGCTCCAGGTCACTATGAGGTTTTTCTTTAGCCTTCAACTGCTCCAAGGGCAGTGACCACCACGTTGGTGATAGGTGGTGACAACCTGTGGCAGTGTTGCCTATCCCAGCTGGCAAGTGACAGAAGTCTCCTGGTCCACATGTACTCACCCAGTGTCTCCTTGTCAGTAGAGGGCATATATCACAGCTACCAGACAATGTGGTAGAGGCATGAAGCGGATAGCTCTTAACAAATAGCTCCAGTCCCCTTTCTTCACAGCATGTCTTTCATTGGCCCAGCAGGGGGAGATGGGCTGTTGGCTCCTTTCCCCATTCCCAAACCCAACACCACTGTGGTCTGGTTAGATCAGACCCTTTGCTCTGGGGACATGGATGCTACTACCTCGGCCCAGAGTTGCTCTTCCAGAATTGGACTCCTACCCTGCTACTGTGGCGGGTGACCTGTCTCACTTCTTATTAAAAATTTCCTGGGTTTGGAACAGACCTGGAATGTTTGGAAAGGGCCTTAAACCCTCAGGAAGGGCCGCCCATGTTTGTGCAGGCCCTGGAAGGGCAGATCTAGCTTGGTCTGGATCCTGGGTGTCCCCAGGTACGAGTGGCTCAGTTTCAGACAGATGCCTGTGTCTCACGTGCACAGTGGAAGGACAGGTAGGGGCCACAGGCAGTTTTCTCAAGCACAAATGCTGAGGCAAGTAGAGCCTTCTCCCTCATGCAACTCACCAATGGTAACTATAGAGACTAGTGCTGTGGCCTCAGCTGGTTTTCCTGCCTTCTCAAATATGTGGCAACAAAATCACAAAACACTCATTTTCAAATCATGTATGGCTTCTTCAACCCCATCAAATAACTTTATTCACACAAACATCCCTTAATTTACAAAGCCTCAGTCATTCATACACATTAGGGGAATCCACAGTGTTCAAGGAACTTAAATATAATGTATCATACCAACCCAAGTAAACCAAGTACAAAAAATATTCATATAAAGTTGTTCACACGTAGGTCCTAGATTACCAGCTTCTGTGCAAAAAAAGAGGGGGAAAAAGAGATTAACTAGTATTTGAAACTAACTTTGTGCCTGGCTTTAAAAAGCTCCCTTATACCCAAGACTGTCCCAATGAATGTCAGGAAGTCAGTAAAATATCCTCCCTTACTGATGGAAAGAAGCCTCTGGGCCACAAGGTTTCTTCAAAGCGACCCTCCCTAAAGAAGCTCTTCTCCTGTGGCCTCCCTTCAGCAATCCCAGCAGCCCTCAGGCAACCAATGGCAGTGGACTCATTGCAGTGCCAGCATCTCCTACTGGTGGCTCTGGGAACACATTCCCAAGACAGAGCCCTCTGCCCTTATGCCAAGGCAGGGCAGGATATGGACCTATGCTGACCAGAAGGCCACCACAGCTCTGCATGGAGGGGCCAAAAGAGCCGAGTGGACAAACACGGCTGTCCTGAGGTTGCCAGGCCTTTGAGGGCCAGCAGCTGTTTGGGGACTTCCAGGTTCCTCAGGAAAGGAAAGCAGTCACAGGGCAGGGCAACCAATAGAGCCACCTAGTGAGACACCTCATGCCCTTAGTAGTGGGAACAGGGATGTCCGCAGAATGGGCAGCTGAATGAGCTTGGTGGGCAGGGCTGGCATGGAGCCAGGCAAGGGCAATCAGAGGGTGGCAGCCTGTTTTCTAAAGATGCCCTGAGGCTGAAACCCAGGTATTCATCCTTTAAATTCTGTAAACAGCCAACAGCTTAAAAATTTCCCACAATGCCAGCTTTTTTCTTAGAAAGATTCAAGCAAAATTAAACTTATTGCTCCAAATAATGGTTTTTTAGGATCGGAGACAAGTGTTATGTTGAGGAGATGAGAATCTTGGAAGGAAATGACAGGTGGGGAATGTCTAGGGCAGAAGGCTGGAAGGAAGGTGAGCAGTGGTCTTAGCACCACAGGGTCAGGGAGCAAAGGGAGTGAAGGGTCTTTGCCCCTGCCCCAGGCTTGTTTTTATTCACTTTGGGGCTACCACTGGCAGCATCCTAAAGGAAGCCAGGCCCTGCCCAGGGTAACCTCTCCACCCAGTGTGGTCATGCTTCTCCTCCAGCTGTAAACAGGGTAGTTCTTAAGTAAACATTTAATATACTCCCTCTGAAAGGCAGCCATTGGGGCAAGTCCCATCAGGGTGGGAAGAAAAAGTTCCCATGACCTGTCCCAAGGCCTGCATCCTTAGTCCTCAGTACCCAAAAGGGGTCAGATGGAGCCAGTCTGGAAGGAGCAAACAGTGGCACTCTCCAGCTAGAGGTAAGGAGCAGGGAGTGGATGCGAGGGAACATGAGGCAGAGTGCACCTGTCTGCTGCAGCTTTTCTGTCCTGGGCAAAGCTGCTAGTTGGAGTGCGCTGGAGTGCCCTGGAGTGGGTGAGGGCTATAGTCCTCAGGAAAGGGTACGTATGTGGGGGGCTGTCATCCTCCTGTGGCTGAGTGCAAGTGATGGATGGACAGTCAGGGAGAAAGAAGCCCCACTTCCAGCTGGGCCAGGAGGTGTGGTTGGGAGACAATGGAATAAGGCACTATGATCTGTCCCAGATTCTCTCTCTGACGGGGTACCTGAGTCCAGACCCATGAGGCCTGAGGACAAGACAGTTCCTCCAACAGGACATCCTTTTCAGACATAAGAAGAGAATGACTGACTGTTGTCACAGCCTTAGGAACTTGGAACAAACTTGATGGTGCTGAGATGTTGCCCATAGAGCTGCTGGCAGAACAGAAACTCAGGTGGGCAGAGGCAGGACGAGGAAGCAACAGAGAGGAAGCTGACCCTACTAAGGGAGGGAGGAGAGTTGCTGACCCAAGGATGGCCCACTGCCCAAGGCAGAGCCAGCTTCTGCCTGCCTGGCTGTGTGCCTGCAGTGGACAGGGTAGAGAGCAAAGGAGGACAGGCACTTGGGGCTAAAGAGCTGCCCTCATTTGAGCTAAGTAGGAGCAGGCTGGGTATGCTGGGCAGTGAGGGTGCAGGGAAAAGACCTCCCCCACCCCTGCCCAGGCTGCCCACAGAAGTCTGCAGGATGTACTGTAATGCCAAAAGTACCCCAGGGAAACACTAGACCCAAGACCTCATTCAGACCAAGATCAGAGACTGGGCAGAGCAGAAGAAAGTAAGAGGTAAAGAGCAGGCAACCTGCTAGACCCAAGATCTAAGGGAGTGTTGGGGGCACCAAGTTTAGGGACTGTTTAGCCCATATGCTCAGTACAGACAGCTGCCCCACAGACAGCGAGGGGGAGGGGAGCCAAATGTTCCCAGCCGCAACTCTGAGTTATACTCAAGGTTGTCTGAGAAGTCAGAAAAGAGACAAGAGCTAGGCCACCATGGTGGACCACAGCCCAGGAAGGAAGGGATTGTTACCACCTGCAGCCCTGTGGACAGCAGACAGCCATCTGCCCAAGAGGGGCAGGGAACCTTGGTGTGCAGGGCCTGGAGAAGGCGGAAGAGCGGGAATGGCCAAACTGGGTGTGAAGTCGGGCTGATCTCTCCCACACTCGCAGGGCTACAGGCTACAGGCCTGCTCCTTGGGGGGAACCCCACTTGGTCACACACTAACCAAAATACCCTTCAATTACCTCCCCATCAATTCTAGGTTTGCTTAGGTAAAACAAGGAACAAAAATGAACACAAATGAGTCCTCTTCCCTTTGCCAGTGCCCCATTCCACTTGGCCAGAATGGGGTAAAAGCCTAGAAAAGATCTGGGGCAGCCAGTACACATCCACATGGAAGGTAATGCAGCAACTCAACAGGAGGCCACAGGAGTGTTGGCTGTGGGAGGGAGGAAGGATGGCTACACAAAGACAGTGGTGGTGGGATTGCAAGGGTCACAGCCAGGACACTGTAAAGTGGCAAGGACACTGTAAAGTGGCACGGACCCAAACAGGTCCCTAACAGCTTGACGGGCTCTGTCTGGTCTGACCCATCATGCCTGGGGCAGGTCCTTCTCTTCCCATTAGATACATTTACATTATGGGTGGGCACCTAACACAAATATAGTCCTTGGGGTAAGGGAGATGGAGCTTGACAGTGTGAGTCACTGAATGTGACACCATGGACCCTGCATACCAGGCATAACTTTTGCTGTGAGGAGACAACAGCAGCAGCCAGTTGAATGAAAGCTGTTGTCTGTCATGTCAGGGTCATCTGAGGGCACCTTGGGAAGACGATGGTCCAGGAGGCAGCAGGTGCGGGTGCTGCCCTCACAGTGGTGCTGGTGCCCGTGAAGACCCTGTGTATCCTACGCAGAGGTTTGGCACAACAGTCCTCACAGAAGGTAGGTCTGTGGAGCTGGGGTGGGGGTATGGTCATTCTACCTCTTCCTTTGGGCACAAAATGATATAGGGCAGAAGACGGGACCAAGTCCCATCACTGTGAGTCCTGCTGTGGCCTGGGGCCACCAACAGTTTCAAAGAGAACCACACTGGCACTTCTGCCTCCTTCTGGAATCCTCCTGGCCAAACCCTGGTCGTCTTCTTCCAGTGGTTCTGTGCTTCTGATGCTGTCCAAGGCCCAACGGGCAGCCAGGACCAGCCCACCAAGGAGTCCAGCAGTTCCCACATTCATGTCCCATTCCAGGAGAAACCCCAAAATTCTTTCTGGGGTAACAGGTCTTCTCTGGGAAGTGAGATGCTATAAGCAGAACTGAGAGATGTATAAAGGAAGAAGACAGAGAGAAATGAAGGACCAATCCAAACTTGCTCCCTAACCCCTTTAAAAAAAAAAAAATTTACACATATGCTTTGTCCACACTGAATTTCTTTAAAGAAATGGTGCCTGTCAACAGCATAGCTTTCTGCTCTTCAGAAGTCTGGATGGTTTAAATTAAAAAAGAAAATGAAAAAAAGGGAAGGGGGTGCTAAAAGCAGGGAAGGGGTGAGAGTAAGGACCCAAATGAGAGCTTCACATTGCCGGAGATCCAGCTGTCGGGAGATCGTCAACCAGTCAAGCCACCACCTGTACCTCTGCCGTCCTTTGTGAGACATGATGAGACTGTGGGTCCCGAGGGATCAACCTGGAAGACAGAAGGCAGGCGAGGAGTGGACACTGATCAGTGGGCTAGGGGTGCAGCCCCAACCCAAACTGACTCAGAAGCACTGAAGTGTGCCAGGGAGGGGTTTCCTAAATATGTACTTACACAGACAGAGTAAAGCAAATGCCACTGAAGCTATCCTGCCCCAGACACTTGATTTCTCAGGTAAGGAAATTGAAGTGTCCAGGGTCACAGTGACTGTTTGAAGGTGGAATCCAGTCTCCAGCTACCAGTCTGATCAATCCTCATGCACACCTCATTCCCATCCCAGTTTTCCTGTACCCTTAGCAGAAAGGTTCTATAGGATCCACTCTGGTTGGTCTGTTCCTGAGAATCCTGGCAGCCTTGGTAAGCTCAGCTGCTCTTCAACCTTCTCAAGTTTCCTTATCTTACTTTACAGGTGAAGAGACTCCAGGCTCCAGAGAACTTTTAGCTGCCTGCCACAGTCCTCAGGAGACCAGGGTCCCTGTCTCTGCCCACTCCTGAGATTAGTGACAAGGGCTCTGGAGCCAGAACTGTGGCTCAGAAACAGCTTTTCCACTTGACACGGGGCAGATCTGAGCCTCTGTTCCTTGGTCTCATCACTTGTACCTATTTCACAGGTTACTGGAAGGATTACATGAACTGATACACTCATGTGTGGCTTAATAATTGGGACATGATATGAAAAACACATCGTCTGAACTTCTTCATACAGTGTACTTACACAAACTAAGATGGCCATAATGCCAATGAGGGATACAATCTCACGGCACTGCTGCTGTTGACATTGTCAAGAAGCACACAACTGTACCTAGAAAACTTAGCAGAGTGCTTGACTCTGTTGGCTGCTATTTGGCATCACTTTGGTGCCAGGAACCAGTATACACAAAAAGTAAAGGCTAGGAATTTATTTTAGCAGAAACCTAGAATACAAAAGCCTAGAGAGATTAGTTTTAGGCTGGCCCCACACCCTGAGCTCCTAATCTAAGCTAAATATAGCCCTGACCCAGGTAGGACTATCCACTAGGGGAGGAGTGCCCCATCCTCTATCTATGTACAGAAGAGATTCTCAAGTACCCAGTTTCACTTGAATGACTCTTGACCTGTGAGCTTACAACCCCCAGCCCAGTTTCTCAGAAGTATGCCCTCCCAGCCCCACCATCTATGTTCTAACTTGTGCTTATGCAGTCTAATGACACTGGCCTATTGTCCTCTGAAGAGGCAGTGGGATTATACAACACCAGCAATTTACCTCCAATCAATTTCAGTCTCTTCCTTTGAAACTTGGGGGCCCTTTTGTTTAGATTTGAGTGGAATGACAGTAGGTACTTGGCCTACAACAGGTACTGTCAAATTGATGAACCCACTCCTTCTTAGTAATTGTCATCAGTTGAGCAAGACCATGGTGCATTGAAACAGGGTGCAGACCTCAGCAATTCAGCCATCAAAACTGATTGTGGCTAGGAGTGGGCTCCATGGGAAAGATGCCTGAAACTACACTGCCAGCTGGATCTAGAAAAATCTTCAGGAAAGCAGTCTGGAAATTATGTGCTCAGAACTTTAGAGTTGATTGGATCCACAGCTCTCTAATTCCACTCCTGGGAAGTCCAGCCCCACTGAAAACACCAAAATGGAAAAGATTTTGTGGATAAAGATCTTCACTGCCTTGAGTTATGTTGCAGTAACTTACAGGTCCCAACATAAGAGATAAGCAAATGACCCAACTCAGTGACATCCTGCAGAAGAACTAAGGTACCTGTGTGGTGTTCTGAACACTATCACAAGTCTGTTTCTGGGCTAAATGGAAAACAGTAGTTGTGTGGCTTAAAGTATACATATGGTTTGTTCCTCAGTTTACATGGAGTTTAAATTCCACTCTGAGGTAATGAGGGGTAGGGTGTGAAAACTTAGTCTTTATAGTGTTTAGATGGGTGGGGACCTTTGGGAAGAGTTTAGGGTCAAGTAAGGCCATAAGGGTGGAATTCCCATGATTGAAGAGGGAGAGACACTCATACTCCCTGTCTTCAGCACATGATGGCCTATACTGCCACAAAACTGTCAGAAAGGCAGCTACCACCAGATGTGGGTCTTCAACCTGGAACCAGAAATGGGAGCCAAAATAAAGCTCTTTTCTTTATAACTTACCCAGTTTGTGGTGCTATTAGCGAAAGAATGTGGACTAGGGCACTGTGACTATGTAAAGCACCCCTGCCATACACATACACATGAGCATGCACATACACACACACTGCTACAGGAAAATCTGGCAAAAGATATACTGAAATTCCCCTTCCCCCACTCCTGAATACTGGCCACTCCAACAAAATGGTTCTCTGTGGGGCCCTGTCTGTGCAATGCAGAAATTTCATTGGGACAATGACAGATTGGATATGTGATTCCTGCTCCACCGGCCTGGAGAGTGGGACCTAGTGTCACCGTTTGGGAAGGAAGTAGTTGACACATACACCTGAAAAGTATATATTCTGGAAAGAAAACGGATTTCTTAGGTTTAACCTTTTACTCTGCCGCTTCTGTTCCCCTTTGCTAATTCCCTTCAACAAAGCCCAGAGTGTGTTTTGAGCCATTTTTTACTTAGGGGAAGACATAATCACTATAAAACAACCTTTTTGACCAAACTCCAAATTTACCTTGCTTCTGGCTTTCTCCCCATAACTGCAGCAGATGAAAATTAAAGAATACAGGGAATTCTCACCATCTAAGCAGTAAGACCTTCAGAAGTAGACAGAAGTTCAGGAAACTGTATGTTCTCTCTTATAGCTTCTAAAATGTATCAACATCTAATTTCTTTCTCTCAGGCAGACCTCTCCAGTACCGTTCTCAAAAAGATGACCATAGCAGGAAAATGATGACAAATGGCAGCTAAAAAGCACAGAGATTCAGAAGCTATGGTTCCCTTTTTATACCATAAATTAGTCAGTGGGACAGGATGATAGCCTAAGCCCAATGGATCCTGTAAGATCTCTGAAGACAGCTTGTAATATGACTGTGATCACCAAGTCCTCTGCCAAGAGATGACATCTGCAAGACCTCTCTCCTCCTTAAGATTTCTTTTTTTGGGGTATTTTTTAGGGGAGGGTCTACGGGGTGTTCAGGGTCTCACTACTAGATTGGACTCCTAGTAATTCTCCTGTTTACAGCCTCCCAAGAGCTGGGATTACAGGCATGCACCACCATAGCCAGCCTGGGGATCGAATCCCCGGCCCCTGTGCCTGCTTGCAGGTGCTTTAATCCACTGAGCTATTTGGCTGGCTCTTTCTTTCCTCCTAGTTAGGAACTGGCCCTGCACTCCTAGTAGAAGGCTTCAGGACAGCTATAGGTCTGAGTCTGGGTCTCCCTTTGCATAGGGAAAAGGAAAATATGACGATTCTCTGATATAGAGAGGACCTTGGGTTTCTACATCTTCCATTGGAGAGGGTCTATGGCATAGCAAGCTCAGTGGAAGATGACAGAGCCTGTTCTACTGCTTGAATAGGTAGAAAAGGCCCTGACTTATACCCCAGGGCTTTGGCTTAAAGCAGCACATCCTCTGAGCACTGGATGGCACTATAAACAGTCTTGGTCTCTGTTCCCAGCAGATGCCCAATCCCAGTTCCTGGCTGCCCAGGCCACAGGGCTTGCTTTGTCTCACCAGTGGAGCCCTACTGTTGACCAGAGCATTCCAGGAGGACAGACCACATTGGCTGGGCATAATGAAAAATACTGCTGTATAAACCTGAAAGTGTTATCTACCGTTGACTTTGTGGTTATTGTGAGTGTAGTCTTGGCTAATTTTACCAAGGGAAAAGGCCCAGATAGCTGTAGCAACTTGGCTCACATAACAGAGCTGGTGTGCACTAGGCCCAGCCCTGAACCAACCATGCCAGCTTTGCTGTCCAAAGCCTCCACCCAGAGCAAGCTTCCTGTATCCAGGACAGCCATGGGCTCAGACAGCTGCCATCTGGTATGGTCTCCGGGCAGATGATATGGAAGGTTTGTTGACAAACCCTTACCTTTCTTATTTCGGCTCTTGGATTAGTTCCCACAGCCTAGCCCACCTTATTTAACTCCTGACACTGCAAACATGTACTGAGGACTTCACATCAGCAAGTTCTAAAGGCTTTGATAGCAGCCTCCTACACTACATTCTCACTGTGTCCCAAAAAGAACTAGATGGCTTATACTTCCTGTCTCTCATTTTACCCAGTAACCCTAAGAGGCAGAGGCTACTGTTAGCCCAGTCCTAAAGAGCAGAGGAAAGTGGAGCTCAGAAAAGGTCCAAACCCAGGCTGGGCTCACTCCAAAGACCCTACTTTTTACATGTAACTTTGTAACAAAATTCCTTCCTAGAGAGACAAGAGCTTAAAACCCATTTAATCCCAGCATTTATAAATAGATTCACTCCCAAAAGGGCTCATGGAAGGCTTAGCTTTGGTGCCCCTGCACAGATCTGGCACCCAGAGCACTGGGGGGGGGGGGGGGAATGCAGCGCCAATCGAACAGTGAGAAGCCTTCCAGCAAGTTCCTTTGCCAGCTGAGCAGCTGTCTGCTCTGTCTAGAATCTAGGGAACCAAACTACTGTTCCCATTCAGGTCACTGGCAGCTCAAGAGTTGGGGAGAGCCAAGGTGAGCAGTTGATAGGTGGACGGGCTCATTCTCATGCCCGGCCTCCTTCTCACTCTGCAGACTTGGAGAATATCTTGAGGAATATGGAATTATCTGTTACTTTAAAAGAAGACCTCTCTATTTTATTGATGTCAAAAGTAATTTCTTTGATTAGATGGTAATGAAAAGTAAGGAGGAATGGTAGCTCCCTAACCCAGGGCTTCAAAAGTACTGCCTCGGGGGCCGGGGAGATGGCTCCATGGAATATACGCTACCCTGGCAAGCGCAAGGGCCTGAGTTCAATCCCGGGTTCCGAGAAAAAAAAAAAAAAAAAAAAAAAGTACTGCCTTATGAAATGAGTCTAGTAACCATATCTCTATTTTTGAAACACAGCATCC